ATCCCTCACTAAATAAGCATATTTTAGATTATCAGAAAGAGGTTTAATCTCTAAGGTAGGAGGTTGTTCAATGGATTATATGATCGGGACAACCGGGATATCAAGAGCTCCAACTGCATAAACGACATCATGAAACACATAATCCTGCAAGGCAACATTAATCTCAGCACAAACAAAGCAAACATTAGTGTGAGTACATAAATCATAAGAGTAAGTATCATCATAATCTAATAAAGATGGAAAATCAGATAACAACTCAGGATAAGTATCATCAACTAAATCAGACAATAACTCTTTTGGATTACTACTGTTTTGGACGGGTAGTTGGTTTGATTCTTGAGCTTGCTGCATAGCATTCATTACAGTGGCAAGCTGTCCAATCTGTGTCTGTAAAGCCTGAAGACTGGAATCTGTTCGTTGTTGAAACTGAAGATCATTTATAGCCATTTGTTTGACAAGGTCCTCTAGTGAAGGTTTGGAAGGTGTAAAGCACACAATTTGGAATTCCTTCAGATGTTTACTTGGATCCTCACCTGCAAGATCATTAAACCTTGGCAACAAGTGTATTAACCAGATTCCAATTTAAAAGGTACTGTAACAACAAGATATTCTGTATATAAAGCATTATAATTCATATCATGGGCAACAAGTTCCCTAAGAGTTTTTTTATTTGTCATATTAAATTTAATAGGAAAAAATCAACAAAGAAAAAGAAAACCCAGAACTACTTCAGCAATGTAGCAATAATTAAGAAAATACCAAAAATATCCCTAATTAGAAAAAGAATGGAAAAATAGAAAACCGAACAAAATAAAATCTAAAACTTATGAAAATATAACTAAAAATCAAATCAAATTAGAATAAATCTCTACAAAAAAATTTGGATTTTTTTGAAAATATGAAAATAGAAAATAAATCAAATAAAATAGAAAAATAATGAATTTGCGATTTTTAGGGTCAAAATATTTTAGAATTCTATTCTAAAGGAGTAATGTTCATCGATTTTTTTTCTTCTTATTTTCTGGAAAAATTTGGAGCAAATTGAAACAGTAGCTTCCAAACTCACCTGTTAGGCTGAAATGCTTACCACTGTACTGCAACCTTGAAAAATCAACAAGCAAACACAAAAAAGACAAAAAAAAAAAATCTAACAAAATTCTAAACTAAAATTCTAAAATTGACTAAAATCAATAAGAATCTCCGGCAACGGTGCCAATTTGATCCGCTGTCGCGCACAGATCAAAAACGAGTATTTTTGAAAACAGTAGTAACGGTAACAACAACTCGAGTATCGTTCTCAAAAGGATTCTTGTATTATTTCAACCAACTAAAGAAAAGGTTTATGGGGGTTTAAAGTTTTGATTTATAAAACAAGAGAAAAAGTGATTAAAATAAGTAATTATAAATTAAGTTAAAACGGCTAATCCTACTGATTCGGATTCCGACTTATCATCGGCTATTATAACACCAATCCCTAAGCGGCTTCAATCCTATTCGATTATGATATTAATCAGACAAGCGCTTATCAAAATCATACGAATTATGTTCCTGTTACCGAATTAAGAAAACAGTTAAGAATATGACGAGTTAACGAATTAAGCAAACGATAACACACAATTAAATTTAGGAACATGCATACAATCGAATTTAATCAATTCTATCATATGGACTCAATCGAATTAAGCAAACGATTGCAATCAAAATAAATAAACGATTTCATAGAAAAGAATTGAACATAAATCAAATTAAATTGGTAGTATAATAACCTCAAAGTGATGGAACCCGTAAGCAAAAGGATTTGCCTTGGGAATTAGTTTTCCATGAAAATCCTACAAAACACAATGAAATTCGTAAAAAGAAGGGTCTGTGACAGTAGTACGGCTGCTAGGTATAAGAAAACATCAACACTTCTGGTTTTAACCCAACTGGATCGAAAAACATAAAAAAAACCCGGTCCTAAACTAAATATTTCAAATGACAGATTTTGGGTTCTGACTTCAACGAATTATTTGGACCTGTTACACTCCGTATCATCCTCTGCCTCAAACATAAAAGTTATAGCTCTTTGTCTTAACTATTCAAGGTCTATTAGAATGCGCAAATCCGATTCTCGTAGCTCCAGTTATGATTCAAACAGTAGACAGATATCAAATAACCGTTAAAGCTGAAAATAAGCTGCGAAAATAAAATAAAACAAACTTAAATATGAAAACACATTAAAATAGTAAAAATACTCAAATAAATTGTAGGAATGCCTAAATATAACAATGGAAGAATGTGTATAAAGATGTACTGATCATAAAGCAAACAGTTAGTGCAAGCAAACAACACCACAAGTAAGAAAATAAAAAATACTGAGAAAATTCTAGAGATGCATCTCTAGTTGCTTGAAAATTAAAACATTGAAAAATTCTAGAGATGCATCTCTAGAACTTTCTACAACTCAGCAGGTGCGTTAATGGCACCAATGTAAAAATGGAAACACAAAATATTTCATTGATCATCATTTTCAGCCAACTATCATGTTTTACATTATGTCTAAACTATCAATCATTCAATTTCTACTCATTTCTTACCCTAATAATTAATTTCTACTTGTTTACACAAAAATTCAAAAACTATTCAAAACATAAAAAAAAAAAAAACTTACAATTTTCCACTTTGGTTCAATGTTGGATGATGTTGATTGAAGTTCCTATGACCTTAGATGCTTGATTTTGGACTTAGTGATGAAATTTTTTTGAGAGTTTGAAAATGTTTTGAGAAATATAACAAATGAGGGAGGAGAAGAGTTCTTGCGCGATTTAAGTTCTAAAACATTTCGGAGATGCATCTCTGAAATATATTCGAAGATAGATCTACGAAATATTTTAATGTTAATTGATAATTGGGTGCGTCTGGAGATGCATTTTTAAAATCTGAGAGTATTTAAGTTTTTTTACGTGGTGTTTAAGTAATATATATGTGCATTAAAAAACTCTCTAATATATTTTTTTTTTATTTGAGGCCTAGACAATAGCCTTGGCTAGAGGTGGCAATTGGATTCATTAAGGCAAAATTTATCCAATTCATCCACCACATAAAAAATAAGTTAATGGATTGAGTTAAATCCATCCAACATATTTTAAGGATCCAATGGATTATTTTTATTTTTGTTAGATTTATTTTTTAAAAAAATAATTAAAAATAGATTTTTTTAAAAGAAAAGAATTGATTTTTGTAATAAAAAAACTGTAATTTTTCCAAAAAAAAACCGAACTTTTTTTCAAAAAAAAAATTAGTTTTTTAAAAAAAATTGGTTTTTTTTTTTCTGAAAACAAATCGGTTTTTTTTTTCTGAAAAATAAAATCTGTTATTTTTTTTGAAAAAAATCGGTTTTTTTCCAAATTAAAAAACTGATTTATTTTTCGAAAAAAAATGACTTTATTCCGAAACAAAAAACCAACTTTTTTTTAATTAAAAAACAAAATTTTTTTCCGCAAAAAAAACGACTTTTTTTAAAAATTAAAATATCAATTTTTTAAAAATACAAAAAATTCAATTTTTTTCATGAAAATATTAAAAAATATATTTTTTTTAAAAATACAACAAATGAGTTTTTAAAAAATAAAATAAAATTGATTTTTAAAAATAAAAAATATTTATTTTTACGAAATAAAAAAAAAAAGTTGGATAGATAGATATCTATCAATTAAAAATATGTTAATGGATGAATTTAATGGATTTTATTCTTAATGAATGGATTGGATAATTTTAAGAAAATTTTAATGGATTGTTAATAAAATGTTTTAATCTATTCATTAACAATTTAATCCATATTCATCCAATTTATCCATTTTGCCCTCCCTAATCTTAATGCCCTTAGCTACGGATCAGGTTTGATCATTCTCTTACCTAACTCTAACTCTTAAACACTTGAGACAATTTAGTTACATAAATAACTAAGATAGTTAATTTCAATAAACCAGGTAACTAAATTGCATAATCCTAAGTAAGGCAAGTTACTATTGTGTAATACGTTAAGCATATTTTTATTCTCACATGTGCAACTATTGCCGTTATCATTATATCCACTTTATAATTTAAATTATTCTTCTGAGCCAAAATAAATGACCCGAGGTTTGGCCTTGTAACCAGGTCCACTCTTTCTAGCCTAGGTTATTATTAATTGGATTTTACTACCTAGCTTGCTTGAGGGTGTCTCTTTTTAGTAGAGCTTGCTACAATTTTTCCTTCGGATACGACCATAACATTAAAAGTTCGGTGACCATTTGCATTAACAACACTATACGCATACTATTAGCATTTATTGAAAAAAATATTAACTATTATCATTTGACTTATTTGTTCTTCTTATTATAAGTGTATCTCTTTCAATATTTCTATGTCTCTAATTGAGGGTATATATATATATATATATATATATATATATATATATATATATATATATATATATATATATATATATATATATATATATATATATATATATATATATATATATATATATATATATATATATATATATATATATATATATATATATATATATATATATATATATATATATATATAACAAAAAGATTTTAAAGAGAGAAAATCGATATCTTATTAACGTGTGTTCATTGAGTGCTATATAAAGGCACATAGGGAAGTTTAGATTTCACACAACAAACACACATCACACGTTGGTGAAGCTAGTTAGCTATATGATAGAAAGTATTTATTAATTATAAATTAAATATTTTAATGAGTATTTTAATATATATATATATTAGTTAATATTTTAATATATATTAGTTAATATGAAATTCTAGAGCATTCTTAAATTTTTATGATTTTGCCACGTCTATGATGTATTTAAAATTATATATATTAAATGTAATGCGTTATTTAGAGAATCAACCAATAAAATTAAATGTTATTTTATTTTTAGTTTTATTAAATTTTTCTTATTATTTCTAACAATTTAGGTTTATCTCTCTATCACTACAGCTCCCATGACTTCCACCACCACCATGAAACTTACTCTTTTCTCCGTTCTTACATACGTCTCATTTTATGCAGTTGCCTCAGTTACACCATTGCATGTTCAACATCCACTTGACCCTTTAACCAAGGAAGAGTTTCTAGCTGTTCAAACCATTGTCCAAAACAAATATCCCATCTCAAAGAATAAACTAGCTTTCCACTATATTGGCCTAGATGACCCTGAAAAACATCATGTCTTAAAATATGAAAGACACCCAACTCTTGTAAAAATCCCTCGTAAAATCTTTGTTGTTGCTATCATCAATAGCCATATCCATGAAATATTAATTAATTTAAGGATCAAACGCATTGTCTCTGATAATATTCATAATGGATATGGTTTCCCTATCATATCCGATGCTGAACAATCCCTAGCAATAGAGCTTCCACTTAAATATCCTCCTTTTATTGCTTCGGTTAGAAAAAGAGGATTGAATCTCTCAGAGATAGTGTGTTCTAGTTTCAGTATGGGCTGGTTTGGAGAAGAGAAAAATGTTAGAACAGTGAAAGTAGATTGTTTCATGAAAGAAAGTACGGTGAATATCTATGTGAGACCTATTACTGGAATCACAATAGTAGTTGATCTTAATCTTATGAAAATAGTTGAGTATCATGACAGAGATATTGAAGCAGTGCCAACCGCAGAGAACACTGAGTACCAAGTTTCTAAGCAAAGCCCACCATTTGGACCAGTACAACACAGTCTCACCAGTCATCAACCACAAGGTCCGGGTTTTCAGATCAATGGCCATAGTGTTAGGTAATGTTTCTTTCTTCTTTTTTGTTTCCTTTTTGCTTCCTTTCCTTAATTCGTAATCCCTTTCGTACAAAAGTTTTGTTCTTAGGTATAACGGTTCTTTGGAAGAAGAAATCGGATGTTTCAGTTTTATATATTTTTTATTTAAATAATGTTTTTTTATTTAAAGAATGAAGAAAAAGAACAAAGAAGACCAGTTAGTTTTATTTTGGTTAAAGTGTAATTTAGTAAAAACCAAGTTTCTTATAACTTCAAGAATCCTATAGTGTGTATGATATGATATGATATGATAGACATATTTTTTTTTTTTTAAAATAGGTCAACAAAACCAAATTACAATTAACGAGGTTTTGACCCATAATCTTTAGGATACGGCAGACGCATAATATGATATGAAACAAGATTAAAATAAGACATAATATATAAATGATTAGATTTATTCTATCATACGTGTTTAACATATGATACCAATTTTATATATAATCTAAAAAAAAATCATTGACACTATTGAGAAAGCAATTTTATATTTTCTTAAAAACATCATGAATTCTATTATATAGGTTAGATAGGGAAACTATCCTTGCAAAAAAAATATATTTGATTTAATAAAAAATAAAATAATATTCATATTTTTATAATTTTACTAACTATTTTATTTTTAATACTTTTAATTTATTAGGTTTTAAATTTTTATATTATATAAAGCCACAAAATAACCCTTATAACAAAATCATATATAGTTTTTAAAAATTATTTATTGATATTTCTTAATTGAATATTTAATTAATCTTTATTTATATTTTATCATTTTTAATTTTTAATTTTAATTTATATTTTATAGAGATAAATTTTATAAATTATTTTTTTATTATATACTGCCGTATTCTAACTCAACTCTATTTAGGATAAAATTTGAACTAGTGAAATAGAATAGGTGTAGTTTTATAATTAACTTATGATTAGTGTCATCAAATATTTGACTGAAATAAAATATGGTATAGATATCATATCCTATCTCTTATCTTGTGCACCAAGCTGAGCTTTAAAGTTAAATAATCATATTTTTAATTATAAAATACTATATTAATAAGAAAGATATAAATCATTAAACTATCAATAATTTTAAAGTACAAGGAATAACAAATGATATTAAAAAATTCAACAAAAAATAAACATTAGAAAAAAAGGAGTTAAGACGAGGAAAATAATTTTTTTATCTAAATAATTTAATTTTTCAAAAAAAAAACTCAAAATAATTTACATTTTAAATTATTTTTCAAACAACTTCACTTTCTATAAAAAAATTCGTCATAGCATTGGTCTTATACCAAATGGCAGTTGAACCCAAATTTTAAGAGGAGACGTCAATTGGATTAGAGTCTGCACCTAGTGTTACTAATCCAATTGGCGCCTATGTGTAAAGTTATAAGGCTAGCGCCAATTGGCTTGACACCAGTGTGTGTTGTGTTTTTTTTATAATAATTGACATTTTATATAAGATTCGGAATCGAAAATATTAATATTAATATTAGGTTATGTTTACATACGAAAACCAAAAATACTAATGTCGTTGATCGATATGACCCAATCGACCATTGGTTCCACATCCCCTAGTCACCCTAACGAGTGGCCATAACCCAAGTTGTTGATTCACCCCATGTGTTGGAGGATTTGAGGAACCAGGAACATCACCATCACTAGATTCCTTAAGAAGTTCAGTCAATTCCATGAAGTCATGTGTATGGAATGATACGTTTGCGCCTTAACTGAGTTCGTGACCCATACCAGAGTAGTTGGGGTGTGTTTGATTAATTGGTATGCGGTCGGAATGATTAAAGGGTGACATTGGTATGAATGATTCGTTGGGGAGAGGTTGAAATGGTTGTCGTGGTGTTGAGTAGTCAAATTCTTGTTGCATGTTTTGGTTTTGTGATGTTTGGCCTTTTTGGCTATAGTAGGAAGAACGGTTGGTCTTAAATGATCGCTGAGTGTTTTGCCTATGCCGGTTATGGTAGGATGATGTGCTAGGGGCATGTCGATGTTGGGTGTCTTGATAATGACCATCTTGTTGGCGGTGGTACGAGGTATGCTCTTGGTTTTGTGATTGAGTGTCTGACGTGTGAAGGTCGTAGGTTTGTCTATTAATGGGTCAGTAATTTGTTTGGTAGAGGGTTGTGAGCAACTGGTTTGATAATTCTGTGAGGAGTTAGATGTTGAACCTTCTTGTGTGTAGGTGACTTGGCGTGGGTCGTATAGGTACATATCCTCAGCGAGAAACTCAAATCCAACTGAGTTGTACGAAGCCATATAATTACGAGTTGGTTTTTCTTCAGTTTGCATCACAAAGTTACTTAAGACATGGTCATGTCGGTTCTTCCATTTTCGACACTCAGATCTAGCGAAGCCTTGCCAAGGGTTAAAGTTCCATCGGTCATTAACTCTTCATAGATGCTATTCTCCGAGGTCTGCCAGGGGATATGGGATATGTTGAAGCTTGTCGAACTGCAGTTTAACACAGTCACTATGGTGCATCTCCATAGTGGTGAGCCTGATTATCAGTGTACATGCAGTCCAAACGGATGCATCTGGTTCATTGTTTTCATGTTCATGATCCAAGTTTAAATATGGATGCCATATGAACTGAAGAGGGAAAATATATTAGATTATAAAATGGGTAATATTAAAAATAAATTATTATGAATAGATTCAGTTAGTAGCTATACATCTGCTGGTCTAAGGTGATCCAAGAGATTGTGATATTGGGTATTCGGCAACTGGGAGGATTCACACAAATAATTGTCATGGTTTTTGGTGGCACGTAAGGCATACACACTGGAGACTGTTGCACTTATGGAGACATAGCTGACATTTATCCCAGGCAGAACTTGTGTTAGTGGAAATATAATACTTCACCAACTATTTTGGGCATTTCAATCATGCATCAAACATTTTGGATTATGTAAACCTATTATTCAAATTGATGGAACATGGTTATACAAAAATACAAGGGCACCTTACTTATGGCAGTTGCACAAGACGACAACAATAATGTATTTTGCATTTCCTTCGCTCTAGTTGAAAGTGAGACCGCTGGTGGTTGGAGCTTCTTCCTTAGGAATCTCAGAAAGCATGTGGCTCTACAAGCCAATCTCTATTTAATTTCAGACATACATGCTGCTGTTGAGAGTTCTTACAATAACGATGATAATGGATGGAATAATCCTCCTTCTACCCATGTCTATTGCATTAGACATATCGCACAAAACTTCATGCATACAATCAAAGGCAATAACCTTCGCGATAAAGTGGTGAATGCAGGGTATGCTCTAATTCAACCGTCATTTCAACCCTACCGTGACGAAATTAGATTATAAAATGCAGATGCTGGAAGGTGGGTGGATAACATTTCGTTGGAAAAGTGGACAACGGCATTTGACAGAGGATGTCGATGGGGCCACATGACAACAAACCTTGTGGAATCCATGAACGACTTCTTCAAAGGCATTAAAAATCTACCAATAATTGCATTCGTGAGAACAACCAAAGATGTTTCAAAATTAGCCTTGTTTGTGTGGTTGTCGAGTTGTGTTAGATGTCGAAGTATCGAAGCAGGTTGCTTGACACAGGATTTTGACTTAGACCAAAATAGAAATTTTGAACTTTACCTTAGGGAGCAAGGTAGCTCAATTATAAATAGAGGAAGTAACCCCTATTTTGAGTAAGAAGAATAGAAAATATTATTGAAACACACAACAGAAAGTGCAGTTACACAGTTGAATAATATTTTTTTCTCAATTTGAGAGTAGATAGTTACTCTGCAAAAACCATTATCTTCCTCCCTTATTTTGTTAAACCATAATATTCTTTCTTATTCAGTTATCTTTTTTTCTTCTTCCATTTACAATTTTTTTTGCATAATCATTCTTGCAATCAAGGTGTGATTGATTCACTCAAGTGAATAATGAATAACAAGGGATTTTAATCAGTTGATTGAATCTTGTTCATTAAGATTGATTCAGAATTACTCAAAGCTCTGGGTTAATTCTAACATCTGGTATCTAGAGTACTGGCTGAGTGATTCGTGGGAAGAAAATTACGATGGCGATGATGAAGGAAAAATTGCGATCTAAACGCAGCGGAAAACAAAAAATTTCCTTTAGTGATCCTTACGAATGAGCATGGTCAGTGATAGAATCGTTACCTCTTTGTGGCGATTCAGATCTTTGATGCAGCGATCACAAGCGTTAATGAAGTGCAACGCCTCTACTCAGTCCACACGAACAGCTTCCGGTCACAGTGCTAGCTGCTTACGAACGGAATTATTTGAGTGAGAAAAGAGAATCAAAAACGAAATTGCATCAAGTGAAAGCTTCATCACAAGGGTTCCTTTTATAGACTCTCTTGTGGGCTGCGGGCTAAAAACCCAATTCACATGATCCATAATAATATTATATATTATTATAATAACTATTATTATAATAAATATATTTATTTTATTATTATTTTATAACCATTATAAAATAACAATAATTATTATTATATTATCCGAAGTTCTATTTTTCACTTAAGTGCACCGTACCTTACGGTGTTCCTTTGATTTCTCTATCTCTCATCAAACTGTCCTTATGTGTGTGACCCTGTAGGATTTCGTAACGTTGGTAATTATATTAAATTATATATTTAACATAATAAACAGTAAGCGGTATCTAGCAACACATCACTGCTACCCAAGTCACGAAAATGTCATGTGATCTGACAAAACCTTTTTCGTGATAATATATGTTTGTACAATTACCCTTTTGCCCCTATGTCTATATTGAACACAAGGCATACACTGTGTCATCCTTGTCCAGTTCAATATTGGGCCCTTAGACATTTCTCCTGTTATGCAGGATTGGCAAATTCCATCTAGGACACTCATGTCCCTCAGCATGCTTCGTGGAGTGCCCATCAACTGTCTTTATGATCATCCAGTTACGGATAATGTTTGATCAGCAATAAAGCACC